AGGGGGCTGCGGGGCAGCGTCTGCACAGGGGGCTGCGGGGCAGCGTCTGCACAGAGCAGGAGCGGGTGGCGCGCTGGCCGGGCCTTTCACTCGTACTAATGCTGCTCGTTGTCGTCATGTTTTTCCTTATCTCTTGGGGACTGAGGATAGCCCTGGCCCCAGTAACAGCACCTTACGCCTTTCCTAGGCACCAGGTGTTGTTGAGGGTCTTACCTATATTCTCTTCTCTGACCGTCATTACATCGTAAGGTGGATGCCCACTGTACGGATGAAAACTGCAGGCAGGAGACTTCAGTTAGTGTCTCCTTGTCTCTAGTCAATCCCATGTACTCTAACCTTTGTACCACATCGTCTCTCCCTAAGAGCTTAGACATAAAGCAAGCACTGTTATTTATTTGGCAAAATGTGAGATTTTCTTTAGTTTGATAATTAAACAGAAAGAATGCAGCCCACAATATTCCTGGTCGTCTCTGATCTCCTTGGTGATAGTAGGAGCCTAGACAAACATCCCCTGTGTGGCTGCAGCATTTCTAAAATTGACGCAAGTTAGTGTGCCACAGCATGGGACGCATTTGTGTCCTTAGTTATGCTTTGTTTCCCAGTTGTTTTGGAAGATCTAAACCATAGTTGACTTTTTCATAATGCCTTGCAAAGAAAAACCCACCAGAGATCTTAACTCCTGTAGCCCATTGGTTCGTGACTAGCACACAACAGACAGTATGGTACATTTGTGCTGTATATAGCACTGGAATTTTTCTTTTTCAACTTAAAAGTCCTATGTTCCACTCAGTGAAAGGAGACTCCAAATCCAGCTTCTTCCCCTTACAGTTGCTTGGTATCCGCCTCTGATGGAGGGCAGCCCTCGCTCCTTTCTACTAGAAATGGGCAGAGTAGGTTAAAGTAGTGAGGTGTTAACCGACGAGGGCCAGATTCCCTCCTCAGTTAAGGTGATCAGACAGACAGGACAGGCTCCTAGCCCACTAGGGCTAGGATAGGTGGCAGGACACGCACGCCATGAACTCAGAATTTAACCTGCCCCGTCCCTTCCAGGGACAAGGCCCCTGGGCAGAGAGAATGTGACCACTCTATTGATGGCATCAACCGGTGCATCCGGGACATTGAGCAGGCCTCGTTGGCAGCTGTCAGCCAGAGCTTGGCCACAAGGGACGACATCTCTGTGGAGGTAAGGCGGGTCTCTGGGGCCAGGCAGGAAGCCTGGAAGATGCTCAAGAATTGGGGTGTGCGGGAGCATTTCTGATGCTGGAGTCTTAGTACTAGACAACCTGCCAACCTGGGAAGCTTTTGGAAGGCGTAGGGCTGGTGTGGGTGACAGCTGGAGGAGCCGGCACACCTGTCCCTGGGGGTGAAGTTCAAGTGTGCCTGCGACCTGGGAGAAGTTATCAGTATCAGGTATCTGTGTGTTGGTGACATCAGGACACTGCCATGGAGCTAGTCAGGCCTCTGCTGAGTGCTCCTGTCACTTTCAGATTGCTGGGCAAATTCGCCGTGAGTCCTACCGCATTTGGCATTAAACCCTAATGCATATCGTTATCTGGTACATGAGGACCTTTTGTGTTCTGTTACTTAGAGCCACTTTCTCTTTGCTTGATGGTTTTTCCAGTGTAGGAGAGGATTTTCTTTTGAGTCATTCCATCGGCTGAACAAAGCCACCGATTCCTGCCACTTTCTCTGCTCACGTAACTGGGCCTAGGACTCAGAGGCACTTAAGAACTCTGAGTGGTCCATCTGCTGCTGTGTGCTTCAGTGCAGTGAGCTTTGGCCCCTTCCTCTGGTCAGTGGCCCCGGATGTGGTGGTGTTCCTGTTCATTAGCGGAGCTGTCTAATTCACGCCAGCTTCAGACACACATTTCCAAGAAAACAGAAGAGAGCTAAGCGCACACATCCTGTGTGGAAGGTCAGCCTCGCTACTTTCAACCTGTTGACGTGTACAGAAAGGCACATTAAACACGTGGCTCAAAGAGGACCGCTGGGCGAACTCACGCGGTATTCAGCCCCGCGCTGGGACGCAGAGGTGACCCCCTCCCCCCAGCTAGGCTTCGCCTGCCAGCATCACACTTAGCTGCAGACTCAGCAGAGGGTCAGGGCTGATCCACTCAGTGTGTGACGCCCACGGCCAGCCGCCTCCAGACAGCCCCACTTCTGGGCACGGGGGGCCTTGGGGCGGCATCTAGATGCCAAGCATAAAGAGAGGCTGGTCAGTTTTGTCCCCGTCCCAAAGCCTTCAGTGGGGGGCCTGCCCCTTAGCTCAGTTCTTTAAGTGGCTGCTTCAACAAAGCAGCCAGGCTCAGGTTGCTGTGGTTCGATCCCCACAACTCAAGCCAGCCAGTCATGCCTTGAAGGCATTCGGCGAAAAAAAAAAACAAAGCCTTCAGTGCTACCCACAGGGCCACCTTAAACTGCAGACAATAGCTGTCAGCCTCCCCTCGGCACCACCCTTCCATTCTCCCTCCCAAACCAAGTCCTCTGTGCTGACCTCCCGGCTAGGAAGAAAGCTCCCTTCTGAAGTGTCTGTGCTCCCCAGTTCTGCCATAATTAATTTTAACAAATCACCTCAAATAAAACATCGTTGCTGAAGCAGCCAGCGTTTTTTGTCTCCTATCACATCATGAGCATGAAGATAATAAGTAATTAGCTGAAGAAAGCCTTTGGACTTTCTCTGAGCGTCTCTCTGACTCTCTCTGCTAACAAGTTTGCTTGTTAGGCTGCCCCCTCAGGGAGTAGACTCTGCTCAAGGCCTTGCAGCTCCTGAGCAGCACTGTTCTAAGGAAGTTGGCCAAGGTGGGACACTGTCACTTCCTTGGGAGCCACTTAGTTCCATGCTGGTGTGTGCAGATCTCACCCGTTAGTCCTGAGTCTCCTATCAGTAGAGATAATATAAAGGGTCAGGTTGCTTCTGCTACTGCTTAATAACCCCCTGCCTCGAGTCCCCACTGCCTCTCACTCCCAGCCTCTTACAGCTCTCTTGCCTGGTCCTTAATGTCCTAACTCACTTCTTTGGGGCGTAGTGGTCACTCCCTCTCGGGCCCAGGAGGAAGTGCTTCTGGGGTGCTCTTTCCAGGGCTTCTCTGCATGCCGCCCCGTGCAGCTTAGAGAGTGGGTCCTGCCGCTGCACCCCACCCTGCATCTTCCTGGTGTGCTGGGTAGCAGCAGCCTGCTTTCAGAGCTGACCGCATTGTTATACCATCCTCCTCTCCCACCCTTTGCTCCGAGAACACAGGGACCTGGACGTTCTCTCAGACCCCACGCAGCTGTCTCCACTTGGACGGCATTGCCTTGCCTTCTGGGAAAGCCACAGCTATCCCCCTTTTCCAGTAATTGTGCTGTGTAACTAAAGTAAAGGTAGCGCCCGCATCTGTTGTCGGGGCTGGCAGGAGCGGGAAGCCCCTGGCACGTGCCTTTCAGGGACCTGCCCAGCCTGCCTTCTCTCACAGCAGAGCAAGGCAGCACGCAGCCGCTTGTTGGTGCGCTCCAGCATCTAGGTGTCATTCTGGGTGGCTTCCCTTGTCCTTTCATGTTGGTGCCATGTGGTAGGGGACAGGTAGCAGGTGATCTTGACACCGCTCTCCGTATCAGGCCCTGCAGGAACAGCTGACTTCAGTGGTCCAGGAGATCGGGCATCTTATCGATCCTATCACCACGGCAGCTCGGGGAGAAGCAGCTCAGCTGGGACATAAGGTACCGTGTGCCGCGGGGACCTGCCCTGCCATGCTTACCCTTCACTAAGACACAGTGCCCGACAGCCACAGCTCAAAGGAGGGGCTTGTTCTGGCTCCCGGTTTGTAGAGGTTTCGTAGTCTCTGCCGACTCCAAGGCAGCACAGCGTGGCGGAGGAGGCCCAGCTCTGAGTGTGGCCGCAGGAGGCAGAACAGAGGCCAAGGGAGAAGGGAAGGTGCCGGAGCCTTCCGGGCCACGCCCCAGGGGCCCTCCTCTGCAGCCAGCCTGCACCTCCCAGCACCGCACAACTGCATGCTCATTGGTGAACTAGGACTGATCCACTGATGTGTGTGCCACCCCGTGGTCCAGCCACCTGCAGAAAGGCCTACTTCTGAGTACGTGGGGCCTCGGGGGGACGTCTAGATACAAACCTTAATGAAAGAGGGAGCAGTCTGTTTTGTCACTGTCCTCAAAACCTGCAGGGTGCGGTACTGTGCTAACTTACTGTGCTAACAGCCACGTTGTCCATAAAGTGGCAGTAGTGCACATAGAAGCTGAGGGTCTTGGCATCAGAGGTGCAGCCCTGCCCCATCTTGTCCTTCAAGTGGCACCTGAGGCTGCACAATTAAAGGAACCCATGTGCAAATTGGCCCTTCTCGCTGTCCTTGCCCCTGTCATTCTCTTGGAAGGGCCAGCAGTGCTTGGGCTCATAAAGCTCCGAGTTGATCAGCCAGCCTCTGCTTCTGAAGCCCTTCTGGTGCAGCACTTACCGTAAGCTGCAGAACACAGTCTTCAGCTTTCGTCTGGTCTCTTTACCAAAATGGACCTTTTCTCACCTAGCATTGAGACGAACTCTGCGGGGGTATTTTCTTTTGGTTGTGCTCTGCGTCAGCCAGCGAGGGACTAAGGTCCAGCCTCGAGTCTGCCATGGTGGTGTGTGTAAGGGTACAAGGCACTGCTCTGGTTTCTCTTCTTACGTATGATGAGACCAGAGAGACATGCAGACTTTCCTCTGGATGGCCAGAGCCTCCTCGCCCAGCCACCACACTCCCTCCCCGCGCAGCGGAGTTCACACTCAAAACGCCGCTATCCGTGGCAAATACTTTGGGCCTGGTCGGAGTTCACTATGCAGACCCATCAAGGAGAGTTGGCTGGTCACGCGACGTGTCCCTCAGCAGGAAGAAGCCAGCAGTCGGATTTTTAACAGCCTTCGGGGTTTCCTAGCATTGGTCAGCGCAGCCATCAGTATCGATGTGCACATCAAGAACTGCAGTAGCCAAAAACCTCTGCAGGTATTGATTTTAAAACATCAATATTCTTGCTTTTCCAAATTACAGAAGAGCTTAAGGGGCAATTAAGCCTCCCACTGGTTCTCAGCGTGGGGCTTTTGAGGTTTAAAATGGCCAGTGTCTCTCTACCTTTTCAAGTGTGGTCAGTTTGATTTTTCATCTGAGTCTCTTTATAGTCAGGAAAGAGCCTGTCTAGATGTATGAGGATCTCTGAGCAGGCACGACTGGCCTGGATGCAGGAATACACTTTGGTAGAGAGGCTGGACATTGCTTTAGCAGTTACTTTTGACTCCATTATAAGTTTTGTAAGAAAGTACGTCCAGGGGCCGGGGAGATGGCTCAGTAGAATAAGCGCTTGGCTGGCAAGTGCAAGGGCCTGAGTTCAATCCCCAGTTCTGCCAAAAAAAAAAAGAAAGAAAAAATATTTCCAGATGGCTCTGGAGGGCAGTATTTATGTCTCTGAAGATATATGTGTAATTAATATATAATACACATACATACAATTTTATGCCAGCGTCTATGTGTTACGTATGTACATATGTATAATGTGCTAGTACAAAAGACCAATTCCTACGTCCATGAGTAACACTGAAGTAGAAGTAATACAGACTCGGTGTGATGTTACGTATCTGCAATTCCAGCTCCTTGGGAGGCTGAGACATGAGCGCAAGTCCAAGGCAAGCCTGGGTGGCTTCGTGAGACCCTAACTATAAATGAAAAGGTTCAAGGATGTAGCTCAGTGTTTATGTGTTGTTCTCAAATGTTGGCGGGGACGAAAGTGCCCTGTGGCCTTCTGTCTAGGGGAGCCGTGGTCTGAGAGCTAACCCCCTTTCCCACTGCTTCGTTGCTGTGTTCAGGTCGGGTGCCCCTCCTGCAGCCTCCCGTCCCCTGGCAGGGAGAAGACATGCGAATCCCCAGACCTCACCTGCGTCTGTGCTCTGTGGCTGCTGTAGCACTCCCAGCCTAGTGGGGTGAGGCAGGAGAAGCTTGTTCTTGTGCAGCTCTCGTGTCCAGAATCCCAGACTCAAGACGTGGGCACTACCATGCCTCCTCTGGAGGCCGCGGAGTGGATTCTATGGGATTCTGCTCTGCACCCTGTCCAGCCTCTGGTGGCTCTTATTGTCCCTTGGCTGTCGCAGCAAGTTCTGCCTCAGCGCTTAACTGTTTGCTGTGCTCCTTTGTGTCCAGGTAACCAGGAAGGGCTCCTCTCCGGAGCCTTAGCCTACACACATCTGTACTGGAGACCGAGCACAGTGGCGGAGCACTTGCCTAGCCCTGGGTTCGGTTCCTAGTGCTGCAGCAAACATAAAAGTCTACAAAGACCCTTTTTCCCATGAGGTCTCATTCAGAAGTCACAGGGCTTTGATTGTAGGCATATCTTATTTTTAAATTATTTATTTATTTATTTATTTATTTATTTATTGTGTGTGTGTGTGTGTGTGTGTGTGTGTGGCCAGCTCAGCCCACCAGGGGGCGGGAATGGCTGGCATGTGGTGCTGGGGGATTGAACCGCAGTCCCTGTGCTTTGCTTAGCTTAGTTTGTTCTAAGTAGGTGCTTTAGACCACTGAGCCATCTCACCAGCCCCTAGGCATATCTTTTGAGGGGCCGCATTCAACCCACTATGGAGGTACATCAAGTAGCAAGCATTAAAGATCCCGTGCCGGTTTAGTTTACATGCTGTTTCCTGGCCTGTCTCCAGAGCAGAAGGTGCAAGTGCCCTTGCTGTGCTCCCCACAGTCTTTTCAAGCCCTTGGCTGTGCTCTAAAGAGTGACCACATCCGGCCCTGATGATCCAGCCCTGCTCGAGTGCTAAATCTGCCAGGTACTATGTCAGGGTCATTGTGTCCATGAATTTAGCCCTCCTTAGCAGTCCCAAGAGCCTGCTACTATTCTTAATCTCATCTGACAGATGAGGAAACTGAGCTTTAGTTCTTGGAGAAACTGGAATGCAATTTCTCAGTAGGGAAACAGCAGGGAAGGTTGGAAGCCAGAGACTCTGAGGCCGCAAGGGCTCTCGCCCTTCATGAGCAGCCGGATACCTCCAGGAGGAGGGTGGGCACTGGCTTAGTTAGCGCACCTTGGTTTTCTTGGTGTGTAGCAGTTCCTTGAGGTTTTGCAGCAGCATCAGTGAAGTATACTTGGAAAATACGAAAATCAGTCTCTAGAACCTGTAGCATCCTAATGCATTGGGCACCATGCCCTGTCTTGGACGCAGAGAGGATCCATACGGAGTCCTGTCAGTGCCTCATGCCCTGCAGGGAGGACATCAGTCGCCTTCCAGGGGAAGAGGGGAAGGTGCGGGGCATGTGTGCAGGGCGGCCGCTCGAGGCTCTGCGTGCAGCGGGGCTGGATGGAGCAGGTGGGGCCCCTCGTTCAGCCTACACTCCGCTCACCAAGCCAGACACCTGGTGTCCTTCGGGTCACCGAACGAGCTCCCGCCAAGTGCATGTGAAGGTGCTCTGGGGTCGGCAGCTGCCGCACTCCAGCGTTTTGAAAGCTGTCTGTGAGACACCGCAAGGGGATTTCAGAGTGCTGCTCACAGTCTCCTGTTGCTACCGTGGTGGACTTTTGTCTGTCTTGGATGCAGCCCACCACACCTGGCCCCAGCCCACACATCCCTCCTCTGCTTGGGCCTGGCCTTGCTCTGGGCAGTGGCCTTCCCACCCGCATCCCCACAGAGCCCCTTCTCTTTCCCTGTGGCTGGAAGAAGTATTAAATGAGCTCCCGCTAAAGGCCTGCCTGCAGATCCCCTTGGAGTAACTCAGTCATGACTGTGCGGAACGGGACATGGAACAGAAAAGGGACTCAGTACATAGCTGTGTTGGGTCAGCGTGGGGATGGATGAGAGCACCGTGCTGTAACACAGCAAGAAGTTACACTGGTGGTCTGGATGCGAGGGACCGCACTGTCACCAAATTGTCCCCAGGCTTAATTTTAAATACTTTGCAGAACAAAAGTAAATAAAAGAATAAAAATAAAATAAATACCTAGTGATAAACTTTTAAAGCTGCCCCTGCTGACACCAGAGCTAAGAAAAGAACAGGTAGCCGTAGGGTGTGGTGGTAGAGCGGGGGTGTGGAGTTGGGTTCCGGCCTCGACCCCCTCGCTCTGCCTCAGGTAAGCCTGCAGCTTGCCCACTGCGGCCTGTTTCTTCATATTTAGCTATCTCTAAGTGGCAGTGGAGGGAATGCGTGCTGCATGTTCAGCAGACAGCTTGGCATAGGAGCGGGGCCTGGTAAGTATTTGTGACATGTGGCCCTGCAGCATCCAGCCAGCCCATGTGGACAAGCATTGATGTGTTCCGTGTGGTTTTGCCTTTGGAAATAGGCCTGGCTTAGTAAACTTTGTGTACCAGAAGAGTAGGTGGGGGTGCCTTGGATTGAACCCAGGCCTCAAACACGCTAGGCAAGCACTCTACCACTGAGCTGCGCACTACCTGGCCCCTCAGTGAGCTCTTTGGTCCTCTCAGCTAGGTTAATCATCAGCAGGGCATCTAGGCTGGTGTGAACGCACTCTGCTCTTACTCCAGAGCCGAGGCTTGGTCAAATGCCTGGAGCCCACCGCCAGTCACATGAGCTTCCTGCAGGGCGTTTGAGTACCCTCGTCCCCGCGAGCTTCTCACACCTATCCCACTGCCCTGTCTGTGCCTCCCGTCTGAGTTGCAAAATTCCTTCGGTTCTTAAAAAGTTTCTTATAAAACTAAAGATTTGCAAAATGGAATTCGATTCTGACTTGTAACTCGGGGTCTTGGAATAGGCTTCTGAGCATTTGGCAAAGAGATGAAGAATCCTTCTCCATCCCTACCGGAAATAAAAACCAAGCAATAGCCAGTTAGTCAGCAGGCGCTTGCAGAAGTAGATTGTAACAGACCCGTCTGCCCCGGGAGTGCCCCGAACTTCCATGATGCCTTTGTGGCTTTTCTTTCCTGAAGGTGACACAACTGGCGAGCTACTTCGAGCCCTTGATCTTAGCAGCAGTAGGGGTTGCCTCCAAGATTCTGGACCATCAGCAGCAGATGACAGTCCTGGACCAGACGAAGACTCTCGCGGAGTCTGCCCTGCAGATGCTGTATGCAGCCAAAGAAGGTGGCGGAAACCCCAAGGTACAGCTAAGCAGTGGCGCCACTCAGGGCAAGGGGCGGATGGAAACCACTCCGTGCAGTTGGCGTGTAGGCGGTCATATGGCTGGAGACTCGGCTGCATTCCGACTCACATAGGAGACCTCAGCTTGACGCTAGGTTCTGTTCAAAAGAAGTATAAATTATGTGATTTTCCTTTTGGCCAATAATGCCACCCAAACACTCTGCCACCTGGGGCGGGCACTCCTCTGCATCCCCCACCACCCCGTCCTCTGCGCCACCACCAAGGTTGGCCCAGGACCACCAAGTTCCTCCTCTGTTACACTCTCTAAGAAAAGTACTTGCAGCTCTCGCCCTGTGCCGTGGGAAGCTATCTTTCCTTGGCCTTTCCAGGGATTCAGAGGAGGGAGCCACGGAAGACGCATAGTTAAGGTTTATTTGTAAATTACTTTTTCCTTGGCAAGACGTGCAGACACACGTGCTCGGGGATGACAAACGCTCAGTATCATTATGACAGGAAGAAAATGAACACTCGCTGGGTACCTGTTCCGTGTCGACACCCATCTTGCACAAAGAAAGCCTCTGTTGTTTTCTAGTAAATGTTATGTCTGTTCTCGGTACTTGAGAGGCTGTAATTTAGTGTGATTTTTTTCCCTTGCCAGTTTGTAAGAGGAACACATAATTACTCTGCTGTGTCAGTCAGATGCTTTTGGTGATTATAAATGATGACAGTGTGTTCTGAGTGACCCTGGTCCACATTTTACTTTGAGCTTGGGAATATGGCAAGAGGGATCTGCATAGGTCGCGCACATAGAGGGTTCTAAAGAGAGGAGAGATGTCCCAAACAGGACAGGCATTCTAGAACATGTAGATCCTGAAGACAGGTAGACAGGAGGGTGGGCCAAGTTAAGCTGTGGGGGACCGGCTTCCACACCAGGCCGTGTGGCCATAATCGCAAGCAGTGGGAGCCGGTGATGACTTCGAGGTGGGGGAATGACACAACAGCCCGTGTGCTGGAAACATCACCCCGGCAGCACTGTGAATCTTGCCTGAGACGTGTATTTTCCGTGTTTGCTTTTTTCATTCACATATCTCCCACGGACTAAGAGCTGAATTCTGAGGATGCTGAAAATATCAAGAGCCAGGCGCTGCCAGCAAGGTGTTCGTAGTTTTGGAATAAGCCTACTTGTAAAAGTGGTAACATAGGACAGGGAGGCCAGAGAAGTCAGCTTGCCTGTGAGGGATTAGCAGCAGTGCCCGGAGGTCAGGCCAGCCCCTTCGCACCCCCTTCCAAGTGGAAGCCCCAACCGCCCTCCACTCCACCCGTCCGTCAGGTCAGCTTCCCTCTCCTCTGAGCTCTTTACTGTCCCATGTCTCCGCCCACCGCTGAGGGTTTCAGTGCCTGTAGAACGCTGTGTGAAAGAAGGCCTTCCCGGGATTTGTAGGATGCCAGCATGCCTGTTTGCACCGCGGCTCAGCTCCCTAAGCTTCGTAATGAGTCCCAGGCCTTGCAGAGACTTCCCCTTGGGGGAGGCCCCTCCTCGATCCCTCCAGTCTCGGGCTAATGTGACTGGTGCACTGGTTTCCAGGGCTTTTAGGCCTTCTATGCTGCATTTCTCTTGCATGTTCCTGCCTTTCTATCATTCAGTGTATTTGTGAAAAGGAACTTATAGTATGTTAGGCAGTATTACAAGAAGCACATTTGTTCTAATTTTTTTTTCCCCCTTAGGTTAGTTTTTTCCATGAAATCTGGCTGGTTGCGTATTTAAGAACCTGTGGAATTCTTTTTCTATTGTCCTGAACGTTACAGCATATAACAGTAGTCACGTCATCTACGATTTGTTGCCATGTTGTAATCTTTCCCCTTGCTTAAAGAGGGCAGTCATTTTTCATTTTTTGCTTTCTGTTTTTTCTTTATTTTGCAAAGTAAGGTATAAAGTCAGGAAAAGGGAGAATCTGGAATGCTTTGCCGTCTCCTTTGCGGGGGCGTGCTTTTGGCGTCCACATCTTTCAGGTCATTCTTAAGGGAAGTAAGGGTGTGTACGCCCGCTAAGGAGGCCTCACGCTTCCTCCTAGGCGCAGCACACTCACGACGCCATCACAGAGGCTGCGCAGCTGATGAAGGAGGCCGTGGACGACATCATGGTGACACTGAACGAAGCCGCGAGTGAAGTGGGGCTGGTGGGGGGCATGGTGGACGCCATCGCCGAGGCCATGAGCAAGGTGGGTGTGGGCCCCAGTGCTGTCTCCTGCGTCCCTCTCCCATGCTGTCCAAGTGTTGTTCCCAAGGAGCTCACTGGTGCTTGAGGTGACCGTGCCGAGCCTTCTTTTCATGTTCATGAAGGTTCTGTTGATGTACCGGTGTCCAAGCTCGTGTCCAGCACATCCTTCATTCTTCACTGTTAATTCATGACCTGTGTGAGCTCCTTGCACCTTCCTCCCCATCTTACCTGCACATTAAAAAGAGAAGGTAAAAAACATCACTCCTTTCCTTATCTGTGAAAGGAAAATAATTAGCATTTCCTGCTTCTGCCTTCTTACCTGGAGCGACCCCGGAATGCAATAATGAAGTGATTCCCACCTGCTGTCCTTGAAGCGGCCACGGGGAGTCACAGGGAGCTTTTTAGGGCACGCGTTCCCTGACCTGCTCCACCTGGGAGTCTCTGCCGGGACACTGCACAACCTCCTCACGCTGCTGCTGGATAGACAGCGTGGGAGCCACTGCCGGAGCGCAGCGCGTGCAGCCGCTCCTCGTGGGCCTCCGAGGCAGTAGGTGAAGAAGAGGATGTGAGTGTCAGTTCCCGGTGACCCGTGCCCAGAGGCCGTTTTGTCTCCGCGCCTCCTGCGCTTTCCCCCCAAGGGATCCTTCAGGAGCCAGAATGCATAATTGCTCCTCAACATCCAGCTGCTGTCTTGTGGTCGCACAGCCGAGAACGGTAGATGTCATCTGTGTTTTGAAATGTCCACTGTCAGGTTGTGAATGCATTAATATCTCTTTTTCAGGGTAATAAGCGATTTTTAATTGCTAATTTAGAGAAGATGGGTTGTTCCTCTCCCCATCAAGAACTGATACCTTGGAGCTGTAACAGGAATAATTATCCTAAACATTATGCGGTGTTTGTCTCAGTGGCAAGGACGCCAGCCTGAAGATGCCTGTGGGGACCTCAGGCTCCGCTTTGTCAATGTGCCATTAATTTCTGATGTGGGCTTTTCATGCTTTAAATAAGGACTTTTGGCAGAAAATGAGTGAAAGAGTAAAATCCCGCTTTCATGAGGCTGCTGGATAAGCCTTGGTGCGTTTGTTTGGTTTCCAGGGCGTCGGGACCCCAGAGCTTTGAAGATAAGCCACATGTCTACCAAGGATGTTAAAATAACACAGTCCAGGGTTTCTTAATGCAAATTGGAAAGTCAAATGATATTTTCTTCTGGGGAAAGGGAATGTTTTAGAATGAGTATGATAGGAAAATGTTTCATAAATTTTGGAAAATGAAAGTCAGGTCCTGCGGCCTTTGAGCCTCACGTACCCCAGCTCTCGTACCGCCCATAGTCAGGGGTTCAGTGACTGCCACCTCAGCTCAGGAAACATGTGACTCTCCACAAGGGCTGGGACATCAGCCTGGTGCTACCTGACAGCAATGACTAGGAATGCTGTGACGGAGACCACACAGGCCGCCGGCCAAGTTCTATAAAACACCTAATGGGGGTTTCATGGCTCCCGCTGTCACCTCATGTCCCCAGGACTGCACAACCCTTCTTCCCTCTAAGCAGCCATCACTGGGGCTTTATGTTAAAGGATGCTTTAGGTCATTAGGCCCAATCACCGAGGCGTAAAGAAGCTGGCGTTTCCATCTGAGTTGCGTTGATGTGGTTCAAACGCTGTACACTTACTAATCCAAATTCCCGAAGGCAGGACCGATCAGTAGGAGCATAGGAGCACGCCCAGGTGGTTCTCATCCAGCTGCAGTTGTTGACACCTTTGGGGCTTTGCTGTGGAGGTCCTCCTGGGACTGCCTGCCCTGGGAAGTTGGGAACTAGCTTAGTAGGAAGCGGTCTGCTTTTTCAGTGATCCTGGACAAGTCCCTCGAGCTCTCTGAACGTTGCTTTCCCCGTTCAGTGGAGCTGGTGGGATTCTGCAGGATTTCCTGCTATCAGCTCTTCTCTTCCTTCATTGCTGCCCCTTCCCAGGAGAAAAAGTTACAGAAATCAAACAAGCAGAGACCTTGCTATCTGTTCCACTGCCTGTGAAGGCTGAAAATAAAAGAGAGCCCTCTAGCCTAAATAAGTTTGAACTCCAGAAAACACTGTTCTGTTCTGTTCTGTTCTGTTCTGTTCTGTTCTGTTCCTACTGCTCTCGCTGCCTCCCCGTGGGCTGAGTGCTCGGCACTGGCTGGAAGCTGCTGGCCCCTGGCTTGTTGTAGTTTGGCCACATCACACGCGAAGGATCCCAGCACACTGCAGGCATTGGGAAACACTCAGTGTACAGGGCACAGATGAGCCCATGACTCCACTGTCGCCCAGCTAGCAGGCCACACGCTATGAGGAAGGCAGCTGCCATCCTCCATCTACCAGAAGAAAAGACCTGAAAAATCTTGCCCAGGGTTGGTGTTGGTAGTTGGTGTTGGTGAAAATGACATCCCAGGCTGTGCACCGTAAATGTTTCTCCAGTGCCTTCTGTGGCTTGCGCTGGCTGCTGACATATAGCTCTTCCTGCGAACCCTGTCTAACGTCCTCTAAATTCACTCCCTGGCCCTCGTTCTTGAGGCCACCTGGCACTGAGCTGCCGGGAACCCTCCAAGATGCCACTGCCACCCCAGATCCCGCCATCTCCACTGCAGTCCCCGGTTCGGCACGCAGCTCATCCAGTCACCGCCCACCCTCTCAGGACCCCTTGTTTCCTGGACAGCACCCTAGCTGCTCCCGCTCCCCCGTACTCACCCCTCGTGTCCTCCCTCACCTGGAGCATGGTTCTACAGCCGACGGTGACAGTGACAATGGTGATGATACTGGATGTGGCCTCCCTGTGTCATCATTGACATTACCAGTTTTGTCACCATCTTTTTTAGTATCATGGTCTCCATCTCTTCCTTAGCTAATTGTTGAACTCAGTAGGTGTTGGCTACAGCCGTGCAAATGTTTCAGAAATAACCAGTTATCTCTGTGACTCTGAGGGTTTAGGGCAGCGAGTTGAGGCCCACGCCTAAGCTCTAGAAGAACCAGGTCTCAAAATACAGATCTTCTGATCAGGATGTCCCCAGCTTTTGAAAGGACACAGCCATGGTCCTACCTGTTCCCACTGTTCCACTCAGTGATCCTGATGCTGCCCTTCTTTTAACTTCTGTTGCACTTACAGTCAACTGAACAGCAAGTTGTTCCTGGAGCTTCCAGTTCCTTCTATTCCAAACTTAGATCCAAACTAGAAGCTCCAGGACGTAGGTACCTGTGGGCTCTCCCGTGCTAGGGAAGCTCTTGGCGGACTGCAGTCAGCCACCTTTCCCATCTCACCCTCCACTGCTCTGCAGCTTCCTGAAGTGGCAGACTCACTCTGCCTTCCTGTGGCTCAGTGCTGTTTTCTTCTCCCTGTCCTTGGGACACCTGCCCTGCCTTTGTGTGGGTGGCCTCACCCTCACTTGGGAGGACTCTAGCTGAATCATTCGTGCCTTTACGACACGTGGGTTCCTTTTCTCTCCTCTCCAGCTGGATGAAGGCACCCCTCCAGAACCAAAGGGAACGTTTGTTGACTACCAGACAACTGTGGTTAAATACTCCAAGGCTATTGCTGTGACGGCTCAGGAAATGGTAAGAAGTGAAGGTGCTGTCCCCTGCTGCTCTGGCTTGCCCTTCTCCTTCCCGCCACCGCGGACTATGTGGGAGGGAAGGTGGGCCAGTCCTTGCTGCTGGCTCCTCCTGTGTTCCCACCTCGGTCCACCTCCTGCCGGCCCTGGTTGTGCACGGCCTAGAAGCCCCGGTCAGCTGGAGCTCCAGCCGTGTAGAAGGGCGGCAGCCAGGCTGACTAGGAGATCAAAGGACAGAGATAATGTGCAGAAACGCGCGAGGTGGAGTTAAGGAGAAAAGTGGGAAAAATTCTATTCACTTCTGGATGGGTGTGCAGTCTTTTAAAAAAAATTAAATTACAGTGCAAGAGAAGATATTTTGGGGTAAAAGAGAATTACAACACTTGGGCAGTATTGCCAGTGTTTCAGGCAAAATAAAACAGTGTGATATTTTTAAAAATCTTGACATTAGAAGGCATGTGACCTTGGAGATTTTTTATTTTTTGTCTTCATTAAAATGTGATGGAAACAGAACTGTATGCTGTGGACCCTTAGGCCTAAGTGGCTTTGAGAAGCCCAGTGCTATCTCAATACGTTACAGATTATACAGACTATGACAGATGGTGTCCCTAGAGAATAGAAATACGTAGAAAAAGTCCACGCGAACTTTTGCAGGCTCAGGTGCTGCTGGCGGGAACTGTTAAGATGCCTTGTTGAGGTTTCCCGCATAAGCCTGAGTGGAGACGGCAAAGTGGCCGTACTGGCTGGAGGGACCAGCACCAGCCGCCACGGGGCTCCTGTCCCAGCAGGATGGCCCAGGCCCTGCTCTGTCTGTCCTGTCATATAATTGTGTGTCCACTAGAGGTTGAGCTTGGACCACGAAGGTTCCTTGGCTGTGCTCTCACTCATGGGAACCAGGGCTGTGGCGGTGCCAGGCTGGGCATGGAGCAAGGAACGGTGCCCACCCCAGTGTGTTGTGACCAGGTGGAGTGGAGCCCAAGTTTCTCCTCTCACGGGGACACAGAGGTCGCATCCCGCCGCCCAGTGGCAAAGTCCAGCAGTGGAAAAGATGTCCCCGAGTGGCCTCATGGCTTTTGTGGAGTAACTGCTGGGCCAGGCTCTAAGCTGGTCTCTCTCGGCCCGTGGTGATGGGAGAAGTCCGCCCTCAGGGCTACCGGGTTGCTCCTGGGGCAGCCGCCTCGGTGCCTTGAGTGGGACAGCTGCCCACTGTCCATCGTGGGGTAATGGCAGGATCTTTGTGCCCCTGTTAACATGACACGCAGAGAGAGCGGAACACAGCGCTCATTATGTGCTCCTGGGCAGCGGCGCTGGGGCCTGAGGCCTGTGACCGCCTTGGGGCGGGCCCTGCAGAGCATGGGTGTGCCTCCATAGATCCAAGGGCTTCGCGGGCCGCAGGAAGATGGTATCGTCACCCAGAGTGAGTGTGGAGAAGGGGCAGGAGCAAAGCCCCTTGAGGGACCCGGAGGCTTTTCTGGGTGGCAGCTCAAAACTGCTTTTGTAAGAATTCAGCGACATTTTAGAAGCTGGAAACTAGCATGTTAGCTAGGTGAGAGAGAGTACATTGAGACTCGGTATCCTATGAACTAGGGGGCCATGGTGCCCATGAAGTGTAGGGCATTGGACACACTAGACTGTATGTGTGTGTATGTGTGTATGAGATAGAGACAGAGATGTGGGGATCAGACCCAGCGCTTAGCGCCGATTGCCACCCCCAGCCCTTATATATTTTCTTTTATTTTGAGACAGGGTCTTGCTACATTGCCCAGATTGGGATTAAATTTGTGATCCTCCTGCCTCAGCCTACCAGAGTGCTGGAATTAACAGGCATGCACCACCAAGCCTGGCCTGGCTACAGTATATTCTTTTAACTACGTTTCTCGCTGGAATGTTGTCACGCTTTAGCACAGATTTCCTATGAGGCTGTATTCGCTGGGCTTCCTCCAAACATTGGCTCCTCCACCACTTCTTATTCCACTCCGTTAACAGCCCCCTCTCTTGAGTAGCTGGGACACCAGAGACCAGACCAGCTCTACCCAAGGCCTGACTCCCTTGTGCAGCGCACACACTCATGACCCCTGGTGGTGTATTAGGGAACTTCCACCAGCCTCACCACAGGGCACATCCAAAGAGCAGGCCCTGGAAACTGGGCTGACAGCCTGATGCAGAGCTGGTGCCCACCGGCCCTGCCTCAGAGAGCAGCTGCCCGAGAGGCCCCCATGGGGTGTACACGCTCGGGCCTGTTGTGTGCGGCACAGCATGGACCCTGCTTGAGCCACCCTGCCCTGCAGCAGCCCGGAATGCCAGTCCTGCCTTCGCTCCGACAGGAGCTTCTGAGCGAATGGGACCCCTTGGCCTCCGATGATATTAACACGTGGTTCTCATGCTGTTTTCTGTGTGTGTTTGTGTCTTGCTTGTTTTCTCTTTGCAGATGACTAAGTCGGTTACTAACCCGGAGGATCTGGGAGGACTGGCTTCACAAATGACCAGTGACTATGGGCAGCTGGCTGTCCAGGGCCAGATGGCAGCAGCCACAGCTGAACCAGAGGAGGTCTGCCACCTTAAGGCCCTGTCTAAGACTCACACACACAGGGCATCCCCAGGTTCTCTAGCCCAGCAGCCAGAATTAGGTTTCCTCTGTGCCCGGCAGCCAGCCCCTAAGTTCATCCCACAGCCCTAGTCGGGGCTCAAGGCTCCAGTCCTTTCTGACGATGGCTGGCCAAGAGCCAGGCCACCTCAGGACTCAGCTTCTGCCCCAAAGGACTCTGTTAGCAGGGCTTCGTCCATGACCTGCCCGAACCTGGGCCGCCAGCTTTTCTCATCTTGTTCCCACTTAGCACACCCCCAGCCTTGTCTACGTTTCTTTCCCAGAGCCTTGGGAGACCAAACGTGAGATCCCACTGCTCCTCTCGTAGGGCAGGCCTGCTTGGCTGACACAAGCCTGGCCTGAGCATTCCTGCTGTGGCTCTTGGACCTGGCCAGATCCCCTCCATGCCTCTGGCTGCCTCCTCAGTCGCTACCAGCTTTCCATCGAGGCCTGGCTAGTCTTGGCCTCAGTGAGGTGCTCACAGGGACTTCAGATGGCAGCAGTGAGGCCACTACGGCCACTGTCAAAAAACTGTTGTCTCTAAAGCTCTGAGAAACGCAGGCGTGCCCTGGGCATGCAGCACAGACGGGCTCCAGGAGGGCAAGGGCGCCCCTGTCGTGTACACCCGGAAGGGCTCCCGGGCCTGGGGCACTAGGTGGGTCTTTGGGCAAAACAAGCTTAGTCTGAAATGCAGAATGGTGGAGTGGGCAGCAGGAACCCCAAGAAGGTAGACGTAACTGCATTCTGTGAAATTCAACAAGCTATTTATTGAGCACAAGCCCTGTTCCGGACATTCCTAAATGAACTGGGCTGTCACGGCACAAGGTCATAACTCATCAGCTGTTCTCCTTATAGTGACAGTCACTGTCCTCAGCCCCCTCAGAGCTGCAGTGTTTCCAGGGAGCCAACTCCAAGCATGTTTAACAAAGATTCCCAGAGATGCTGCGGAAGCGAAGGCCCCAGGCCGTACCTCTAACACGTGCGGCACCAATGCATGCGAGCAGATGCGTTGTATATATGTGCTCGAGGGCATATATATCTAGCATGTTAAGCTGCTAACAGTGCCTGTGTCTTCGGATTTCAGGGTGATTACATTGTAAGCGGCAGCATGAACAATTGTTTGTAATCAGCATTTCAAGTCACTTCCGAGGAAGAACAGTACGAGGCACCCGCGGCTTCATCTTCCTAAGTCTTTTATATAAGCTCGCCTTTCTTTTTTGAAATCAGACGCTTTGCTTTACTAGGGTCACACTGGAATTCTGTTCCTAATGTATCTACACATGGACTTCACCATTATTACCATATAACTTTGAAATTCATAAACAAGCGCAAGGAAACTTAGGTGACAGTGAGGCACTCTTGGGTTGGCCCAAGGAGGAAGCATTTGGCTCTGTAGGGGGAGCTGGGAGCAGACCCTGCCACGCAGCGGGCTTGGCTCTCTCCACAGAATCTCATGAGTGGGGCCCACTGCCATCAGCCTTGGTTAGCTAGACGCTGAGCTGCCCAAGTTCTCCTCAGGACTCTTCCCACATCGGCGCTCCAACAAGCTACCTACCCTGTGTGAGGAACAAGCAGATTTTCTTATTGCCATACTGACTGCAGACGCAAAATGACAATGCCAAAGCGAGCCCAGAAGAAAGCGTCCCGCTCAGAGCACGACAGGTTCCTCTGGTCCCCGCCCCCAAGTTGTACCAGTTGACGTTTTCATTAAGGTTTTCTCTTTTCACTTACGACTTGAGACATATTTTACAATCAGGCATGAGCACAGCATGACCTGGAGTGAGAAGGGGCACAGATTATATAAAATTACCGATGGCTTGTGAGGAAAAATTCTTTGTGTGCATTTGCCTATCAGATACTTGCGGGGGAGACTGAAAAGGTTAGGAGATCCCTGAAGCACTGTGGTTTTATATTCCAAGATTGTGGACTTACTTGTATACCCAAGAGGGTCCCACGTCACAGCGTGTGAAAATATTTATATCCAGAGTGCAAGCAAGAAGCAGCCCGCTTTGCGGCAGCCCTGCTGGCTTCTGTGTTGAGTCAGCGTTTCAGTCTTTCCAGGATGTGACAATTACAGGAAAGGTCAGAGCTCTGCCCTCAGACATCCAGCGGGGTCTTTATCTGCTTATTTTTCCACGGAAACCTCAAACATTTGTTAACAGCATTGTGAAAACCTTTCAGAAAAAGTTAGAACCCTCTGGCAGCTTTGCAGTTTAAGGTTAGTTTATCTCCAAAGAGGAAAACTAAGAAAAGAGAAAGGCAGGAAAGGAAGGGAAGGGCAGGGAGAGAGAGAAAAGAGGAAGGGAGGGAAAGGAAGGGAAGTTAGTTGAGATTTTATGAGCCACAGCTCCTAAATGAAAATTCCGATGAAAAGATTTGATGACTACAGCTTTGTCCCTACGGAAAATCAGCTGTGGCCACGTGTAATATTGAATGTCTTAGAAGCCAATGTCAGGAACCCACAGCCCTTTCCCCCAGAGGAGATGCATGTCCACTCTGGGAATCTAAAACTTTCCACTCCCAGACACATGCCCCACTCTGAAGTTGGACAAGATAGCTGGTTGTGTTGTACACATGATTTTTTTTTTTTTCTTCTACTTTTCCTATCAGCATTTGTCAGATACACCCTGGTGCTGCCTTTGCAGCGTACACAAGCTCTGCAGGCAGCTGGGGGTCCTGGATCTGATTTCCGAGGCAGTTGCTCTCAGTGTCCCCCAAAAGCCTGCAGATTTTGTTTGGTTTTAGGCAGTAAGGGGGGAAGATGGTCAGTTTTCCTTAGACTCCCAGTTGTAATCAGATCCAAAGCTACACGACGGCCAGTCTTTCCATTTCCCTCCAGGCACAAAGCCAGGAGATGGTTTTCTCCATTGCAGTTTTATTTGGGCAAGCAGGGAATTGAGGCTCCAGTAATGCTTTACTACAGCTGCCAATTTAAAACCCAAGTCTTGGAGCTGCATTCCTTTATAATAAACTCTGGTTATACATTGAATCCCCCTGGAGGTCTTACAAAGTTGGGTCCTGTTTGCTGAGAAGCTTTATGATGCCTGAAGATGAGCATTTTTCAATCCCTTACCAGTTTGAACACAGTCTTTCTAGAATGTTCTTTGTCCCATACCAACTGTTCTGTGAAACTGTGGGTAGAATAGCTTGATTCTGTTATTCCCCTGGAAAATAATCCGAGAGCAGTTCAGCCCCAACTCCAGGACATGCTGCGACACCCAAGCTCCCACTTGCCTTGCCAAGCACAGCAAGACCAGAGTCATTTTTTCATTTTTTCTGCCCTTTTCTGCGTATAAGCAAACTGAGGCTGTGGGAGATTCAAAACCTCCCTCCAGACCATAAAACTAAGGGTTTTTGGGTTTTGTTTTGTTTTGTTTTTTTCAGTCACTTTAACCAGCTTGAACTGGTAAGGACTTGTTATTCTGAAATTCTGTAAATGTTTCCCCCACCACTTCTTCCTCAGCTGAACTCACCAGCCGCCTTCACCCTACAGAGGTCTGTGCTCAACCTAGACTCCAGGGCTGTAGCCTATAGATTAGCACTGACCCTTGAATTTGTGGATTTGGAAGACTTCAAGGGCTAGACAGAGTTTAAAATTGTAATGGTTTATCCTCTGGCTTCCTCTCCACCTTGCTTCTGAGCTAGAAAACATGCCCACCCAAGAGATCTGTTTGAATGGTGTCACGGCCTGTGGGCTGAGCTAGAGGCCTGGTCCCTCCCCAGAAGCAGCCTTGCTTACCACTGCATTGGTCTACTGCACAACGAAGCTGTGCTGTTGCTGGGTCCAAGGATGCTGTTCAGCTTGGATGCTCTATGCCCATGGCTGTGGGACAGCCCTGCCTGGCCGCGAAGCTTTCCCAGCATGCAGTGGGCAATACAGAAGACACCCAACAGCAGTTCCATTTTCTGGGTCACAAGAATTTCCTGTTACTTGGCTTTAGAAGGGGCCTTAATGGGGCTAGGATCAGAAGCACTTTTCCTATAGAGCAGTACAATTTTATACAAGCGGGGACTTACAGTTCCCCGTTTTCCAAAGTGACTTCCTTGAACTAAGATGAGTGAGATGATAGTGGAAGACAGCCTTTGGGGGCCAAACCCTCCAGGCATCCATCATTCATTCTCCTTGAGCTCTTCCAGTAAATACCCCGAGACTCGGCATCGCTCCCAACTGTTGTAGATTCTTGAAGGTCATTCTAGTTCCTAAAGTTCCATTTTCCTTTTCAGCCCCTTACCTAATCCGGAGGGCAGCTATACCAACCAGGCCCAAATGCAATTTGGTGTGGAATGGAACCAGAGGAGTGGTCCTGGAAGTTGGCTTTAGGCAGCCTCGGGGAGGCAGCCGGCAGCCCACCCCCAGTGGAGCTCTCTGGCTTCTCTTAGGCAAACCGCCTTTGTGATCGTAGGGTCATTCAAAGAAGTGCTCAGCCTGGAGCTCTGAAAGTGCCCCTTCTGTAAGCCACAGACCCACCCGGACAGGAAGCCTGTGCTGGGTACGGTTGCTCTCACTCCGTGGCACAGCTGAAGGAGGAGGCCCGGTCACCATACTGGTTTTATGAGGCTCTGAGTGCTTTAAAGTCTGATTCATGCTAAAGCTATATTTTGAGCTAACAACCATCTCGGGCTGTTGGGAGGGGCACGTGAAATTCGTAACCTGCCCGGAAGAGGCCCTGACACATGTAGAGGTGCAATAAATGCTTGTTGAATGAATCACAGAACCATCCCTTGGGGTTCCTATAGGTAGCATTCTGACCGGGTGGCTTGGGACACAAGCGCAGCCCCCGCCAGAAGAGGCTACGGGCATAGGGAAGGCATCATGCTCGTGTGACGAGCTGCAGGCTTGCTGAATGCATGCTGGGGGCATTTTACCGTCTCTCGAAGGGGAAGCTAAATCAACCAAATTCCATACTTCACCAAACACAGAGTCCTAATGGGAGTGGAATTTTCCTAGCCAGGCTCCCATAGTGCACAGGAGAAATTTTCCACGTTGGGCAGGGTCCTGTCACACTGTCTGTCCCTCTCGGGCTTGCCTCTAGATCGGCTTCCAGATCCGCACGCGTGTGCAAGACCTGGGCCACGGCTGCATCTTCCTGGTACAGAAGGCGGGCGCCCTGCAGGTGTGCCCCACAGACAGCTACACCAAGAGAGAGCTGATCGAGTGTGCCCGCGCTGTCACGGAGAAGGTGAGGAGAGGCCTGGGGGGTGTGGCCGCTGGCCCTGCTGTAATGGGAAAAAAGGCAAGAAACAGCCGCAGTCCCGAAGAGGCAGCTGTCTTCCCCCTCCAGCCGGGTCCCACCCGGGGAAAAGAGCTCAGGCCATCCCAAGGGCCCGAGTAATGGAGAGCGTGAGGGGCTGTTTGAAAAGGCCAATCCCTGGTGTCCCACCTCCTAGAAGGGCTGTCCCGCAGACAGACCCCATGAGAGCCACCCTCAGAAACAAGACTTAGCCAGGGCAGGGCCCCATCCTGTGTCCCCCTGGTCCTCAAGAGGCCCCCGATACTGAGGCCCAAGCTAGGACAGTGCAGCTTTCTCATCTGGGGTCACACAGTGAAGCCAGGCCGGGCTAAGTGACTTCAGGCAGCCGTGTGGCGCCAGCGTGGAGAGCAGGCACTGTGCGCCCACGCTTGTGACCTGAACCTGTTCGTAGAGATGATCTCTTTGTGTAGCAAACAAGGCTCGAAGAGCGTAGCAAAGATACTGCACTTTCCCAGGCCTTGATCTGCGCATCTAACGTGAGGCTACACACTGGCAGTCGCTGGCTCGCAGATTTGTGAAGATTAAACAGGATGATACACCAAAAAGTGCCCAGCACCGTGCCAGATGGGCAGCTCAGCGCTGAACACGTACTGGCTGCTGTTTGCTCTAGGTGCCCCTAGGACTCTCCAGCAGCCCTGGCTTCGCTCTCACGTCCGGTCATCCCTCAGCAGAGCCCCCCCCCGCGGGCTGTGCAGGCGCAGGCCAACATGTCCACGCTGCAGTGGCTCTGCCCTCTCCCTGCAGCTCACAGCACACAGCAGTGTGTACTGTTTAGAAACTTGGCCATAAGCCTGGAGGCCAGGTAGAGGGCGGGAGAGGCCCACCTGGAAGCCCCCCACAGAAGCTGCTCTGTCCAGTGCCTGTTGCCCCAGCCGAGGCTCCACAGCCCACAGGGCTGTCCAGCCCTTTGGCCTCTGCAGGATGAGGAAATAAATCTGTCCGCTGGGGAAGGCATTTTCCCTGTTGTGGAATTTGCTCTCGCCAAGATCCCTGTTGATTGCTTGCGTGGTGGTCGCAGGGGCACCTTGTGGGGCACCTACCTGCATGGTGGCCAGACTGCGTGACCTTCCGAGCTGGTTTTGGCCTTGCGCCGCTCCCTGCAGATGGCCTCTGATCCGGGACTCTTGGAGAAGGGCCAATGTGGGGAGGCAGCCAGCTCCTAGCCAGGATTTTTGCTGTGTCTCACCCCAAGCCCGTGCCCCTCCTGCATCCCGCCTGCACCTGGCATGCCTGTCTCGTGTCCTTTTTACCCGTCTTGGTGGTGTAGCTCCTGCACCCCGGACTGTGAGCCCAGCAGTTCACAACTGCCTGGCACTGAGACGTGCATTGCAGCCCCTTCGCAAATGTGTTAATTTCTCATCAAGTCCTGAATGGGGAGAAGTATAACCCCGTTGCATACATAGAGAAATGGGCTACAGAATGAAGCTGCTCGCCAAGGCCACATGCCTGTAGGTGCGAAGACTTCAGGCGGGAGAACCAAGTGTTGGCAGAGTGGCCATACTTGGGGACTCTGGCTCCCCTCACAGTCCCTTCTTCCCCACAGGTGTCCTTGGTGCTCTCAGCACTCCAAGCTGGAAACAAGGGAACCCAGGCATGCATCACAGCCGCCACCGCTGTGTCGGGGATCATCGCCGACCTGGACACCACCATCATGTTTGCGACAGCAGGGACGCTGAATGCGGAGAACAGCGAGACCTTTGCGGACCACAGGTACTGGGGGACGGGGCAGTGGGGGAGGGCATGGACAGGGACCAACACTTGCTTAGATCATGCTGCCTGGGGACCAGGAGGGGTGGGGTCTCTGGGTCTCAACAAGAAAGATGCGCAGGTAGGGGAGTGAGCCGCCAGATCAGAATAAGCCCGTGTCGCTGTCGGCAGAGGCCTGTTTGCGCCTGACCGTGGTAACCTAGCAGGGGCTGACCCCAGCACAGGGTAGCACTTGGATGTCTCACTTGGGCGGCTGGAGAGCTGCTCCTCCAGAGCCCACCCACATGGAGATGGGCGTGATGGGCAGGCGTGTTTGCCAATGGCCGTGTCTTGAAGCCTGCTGTCCCCCCAGGGCCTGCACTGAGCAGGCAGGTGCTGGGGCTCTGAGTCTACAGCCCGGCCCCCTGAGTCCTTGCCACTTGTCCAGTCCTGTTCTTCCTCTCTCCAGCCCAGTGCTGGGCCCAGGAAAAGATTCCCCATGCTCTGTCAGCCCCCTACAACCCGTGTCCCATTCTGTGTGTCCTCGCTGTGACCATCAGGGGTCCTAGGGCACGGGGGAGCCACAGAAGTGTTCAGGCTCAGGTCAGCAGCCTGCACCATGGGCCCCGAGTCCTTTGTGGGTCGTTCTTACCCTGCTGACTCTGCATGTTGGGTGGCCTTCCTCTCCTGTCCCTAACTTCGCCTCCTTGGAAGTCCTGCATGCCTTGTTTAGGGAGGCAGAAGACACCTCCTCTGTTTTCCGAAGCCACCTGTGAGCCACTTTCCTTCCTAACCACAACAAGTGAAGGTTGCCTTTGTCTCTACCCCATCCCTGCTCAGGGAGAATATCCTGAAGACGGCCAAGGCCCTGGTGGAAGACACAAAGCTGCTCGTGTCCGGGGCCGCGTCCACTCCAGACAAGCTGGCACAGGCGGCTCAGTCCTCGGCAGCCACCATCACCCAGCTCGCCGAGGTGGTCAAGCTGGGGGCAGCCAGTCTAGGCTCTGATGACCCTGAGACCCAGGTATGGACAAGTCGGAGTAACCGGCTCTTGTATCCCCCTCCGCACGGTGCACTGGCCCAGGAGGACAGCTTGGGTGATGAGAATGTTTTTCTTCTTGCTTCTTTTATGGTGTATAATTGAGAAAATCATAGGTAGTTAAGGTGCACAGCATCACATTTTGAGCTCTGTATCCATTGTGACATGATTACCACAATCAAGCTAATTAGTGTGTCTATCACTTCACCTACTTAAAGGGATTCTTAATTCTTCTGCCTCGAAACATTTTAGGATAGCACAATAAAATAAACAAACATGCTGAGCACCTTACCCCCATAGCAGATTAAAAGGCCATTCTAGACAGTTCGTCCCATCTCTAGCTATAAATGCATTTTTGAAAATAAAAACTTGGCAACACCATATGTTCTGTTTTATCACCTGCTGTTTTACCTAACAGAATACCCTGAATACTTTTTCACTCTACAAATTCATATTAAATCATGATCTCTTAATGATATTTTCAATGATTTTTCCATCCCCCATTACCCTAATTTATGTCTTTCTGAGCTTCCACCCATTCCTTCTTGTGTAATCACCCTGTCCCTTCTACGTTCATGTTGTCCTTTCCTGACCCCTCCTAAAATTAAGGAAAGCGTAATACTTGTCTTTGAGTCTGGTTCCTATCGCTGACATGATGTCCAGTTTCATCCACTTTCCTGCACGTGACAGGACTCGGTTCTTCTTTACGGCTGAATAGTACACCACTGTGTGTATATACCGTGATTTCTTCATCCGTTCTTCTGTCGAGAGGCCCTCGGCTGGCTCTGTATCTCAGTTTTTATGAGTTGTGCCACAGTAACCATGGGCGTGCAGGTATGCATGTGGCGTGTTCACTTGACTCCTTCAGGTATACACCAAGGAGGGGTATAGGTGGGTCATAGGGTAGTTGTAATTACTGTATTTTTAGGAATCGTCACACTGATTTCT